CTCTGCATTCTGTAATGAACTTAAGCAATTAAGTGTTGTTCTTTGTATTTATTATCCATCAGAATAGTGTGATTCTTCTCACAGTGTGTTGATGTACTAGTGTCCTCATAGGTTATACAATTCTGGTTAAACATCTTCCCCTTCAGATGGACACATTTGTAAACCCACTGCGTAATTCTATGAGAAATGTGTCAAATGCAGTCAAGTCTCTCCCTGACAGCCTGGCAGAGGGAATGACTAAAATGTCAGACAACATGGGTAAAATGTCAGAAAGATTGGGACAAGACATAAAGCAATCATTTTTCAAGGTAAGAAAATGCTCACTGCGTACTAGTGAATTGCTAGGAGGCCAGATCTTACCACATTCAGACTTGTGTACTATAAGGAAGGGTTGAGACTCCACCAGTGAAGTCAAGTCCATAGATAGCAAAGCAATCTGTTTTAAGCAGCTATCATACCACAGGTGTGGAGTTCTCTTTGCTGTTAAGTAACATATTAAAAGATGAAACCTGAAGCTTGAAACTCAGAATTAGGAGATAACATCTTCTCTGCTTATTCCATGCTGAATTCTGTTCTTTAACACAATTTTTTTTCCGCGTCTCCTGCCATCTATTGCTGTTATATTTTCTCATCTGATATAATCTTAAAATATTAAAATATAACCCATTAAAAAAATGAAAAGTGATAGCAATGCATGCTACCCAGAAGTTCTGTGAAAGTAGTAGCCTTCGTAACACCTCCTTACTGGCCTTTCCCTTGTCCTCTTCCTTCTGTATGCAACTAGGAGCATCATCACCTCTGGTCAGGGATTACCACATGTCATATTAGCAAAGCATTTTATCCAGTAGATGCACAACAGTAACAGAGATGAGTTAACCCTTAAACCAAAATGGAGAAGAATGAATATGGGCCTGTCTTTGGAAAGCATAGTTATTTCTGGGAGAAAATGATTGGGTCTGGACTTTCTCATTGCTATTAGTTTCTCTGTTGACTAACAAAGTATCTACAGTTATCCTCACTGACAAGTGCATAACTGAGCAGGAGTTAAGTTCAAGAAGAGATATCAGTTCCATATGGACTTGTAGATATTTTCCAACTGAAGTACTAAGCACTTCAGAAAATGAAAGATAAAACCATCAAATTTTCTTCTAGATGTGATGCAGTGCTTTATTTTTTTGGCTCAAATACTCATGTGGATTGTTCTAAGGGGGTTTGTAACTTTGGTTGCTGTAGGAGAATATTTATAGACTTGGTTTCTTGGAAGATGAAATGAGTACTGTGTATCTCTTGTAGCCTTTGACTCCTGACTGCCTTTTGACTAAATGCTTAGTTTTGTTTTTCATAATGCAATTGGTTATGAAAATTGATCTGATTTACTGGTGTTCTACAGTGTTTTTTTCCCTTATAAACATTATTTTTTTCGTTATAGGTGCCTCCTCTGATCCAGAAAACCTATTCAGATCCTGAACATTGCCGTGTTGCGGCACCAATTGATGACAATGTGAGTCCAACTCATGCTCTTTTAAAAATGACTCCTCCACAATCAAATTAGGGGATTGCTTATTCTGGGTTAAGCTCCTTATAAACTGTTTTTGCTCATGTAATGGTCACTTAAGAAATTCAATAACGTTTGTGGGAAATGAACATATTTTTCTCTGAAGCTTAGCATCCCTCTTAGTACCGAAACGGTCTGCACAATAATGTTGTGCATGTTCCACTGCTTCTGTAGGGTTTTCCCCCACCTTCTTCCTATTGATGTCAGTTCAAAGATAGTGTGGGGCAAGAATGTCAGCAGCACTTTAGGGAATCTTACTTTTGAGGTAACTTTTTAAGGAACATTTTTGTAACAGGTCAGTAATAGTTTAATGTGTTTTTATAGGGGAGAAAAAAAAAAGTTTGTGATATATTTCTAAATAATAAACTTCATTATATAGATGCCTAAAATGCATAAATGAGTGGTATTAAAACCTGAAAGTGAAGTTTAAGCTCTTGATGTTCTCATAAGCTGTGGTATTTTGCTATTGGTTTGACTGAAACATTGATCAAATATGTGAATAGAACTGAAAAAAACCCTTTTATCTTTAACTAGGGCAGAAAGGCCATAAGATTACCAGTGATTATATGCAGTTTGCTATGGTCATAAATCTGCACCTGTTCTGCACTTCACTTTTTTTTGGTCACATCAAAGCATTCCAGTTTGTCTTCCTGTGCATAACTGCTATGACAGCCTGGTAAATGTCTTTTTGTTTGAATAATGGAGAACGTGGATTCTACTCTGGGTTTTTTTTTTGCATGTTGTGTAGTACAAGTGTGTATCTTCAAAATTTTGAAACTTCTTGTTCTTCACAGCAAAACAAAATAATACAGGTTAACTACATGAACAGCTTATTCATAAATATTTCACTGCTCTTCTGCAAAATGGAGAGGCCAGAATTCTTTATTGTCACTTTTTAAACTTCAGAGTAATATTGAAATGTGTCTCTCAGAAACACTTGAATATAATATTTAGAAACATTTCAACAGTGAACTGCTGTTTTAACGTATATTGTTGACAACTTAGAGTCACTAAATCAGGCAAAAATACGCCAACCTGTTGAACAGAATTTTGTTTCTTGTTTCTTAACCTTAAGCAAATAATACTACGTAGGTGATGTATGACCCTATTAAATCTCCTTTGGAGTTATGAATCCACTGTCTATGTTTCAGTTGTACCAAAACATAATTCGTGTATGCATTTAAAGTGTCAGCTCTGGCCCCATAAACTCACTCTAAAGATGGTCTCCTCATGTAGTCTGTCCTAAGAAACTCTTTGCAACTGTGAGTTCTTGCTACTTTTTCCATGGTAACATTACCAATATATAGTGCAAACATGAGTGAAATAAGCAACATTACGCTAGTTGTTGAAACAACTCTCACAGGTATAACCATAGATTTAAGATATAAAACACTGAAGTTTATGCTTAGAATATAAAAATCTCAATCCAAAGCAGAGAGGTGTATTCAGGTGTAAAAAAAAAAAAAAAAAAAAATGGTCTATTCGATCTTAATGAATTTTTCTGATGATTTAATAAGTTTATAGTTTATTTTGGTCATTTATGAGTTTTTAGTAGTGAATATAAAATATAGATAAAGAAATAAAATGTCTTTGTTCTGTTTTAGATAGATAAACTCTCAGCTCCTGTGCAATCCAACTGTTAAAAGTCTGACTTGTATAAGCTTGTATTTTTGCATATAAGCATGTGTGTGCCATAACTTGGCACTCTTCCTCATATTTTTATTTTTTTAAATAATATGAAGTTACCTATAAGTGTATACTGTTCATCTTTAATTTTTTTTCACATTGTTACATGTTTTAAGATTTCTATTAAAGTTGCCTTTTTGTAAATCAAGAATCCATATAAATACTTTTATTAGATTAGATTATTACAGATTAGAGAATAGATTGTTTTTCCTCAGCTTTAGTGAAGTAACTTAAAGCTTCTTTTTCAGTGTCACTTTAAAATTTGATGGATTTACGCCTAGTTTATCTGCTCTTAGTCATGTTTTATGGAAGATTTCATACTATAGGGAACACCTAGAGCAAAATGGTTCTGTCACTGCAAATACTATTCTGCTATATACTATACTACTGAAGTATTCAAACTGCAAAGTAACTACTGGAAGCATACTAGAAACCGAACTAAAAGTTTACTTTTGTTCACTTGATCAGGTGGATGACAATATTCCACTGAGAGTAATGCTGCTCCTTATGGATGAAGTCTTCGATTTAAAGGAAAGAAATCAGTGGTTAAGAAGAAATATTAAAAATCTGCTTCAGCAACTTATTAGGGCAACGTATGGTGACACAATTAATAGGTATGTTTTTTTTTTGTTTTGTTTGTTTGTTTTTTACCAAGTCTCTTTTGTTAGTTTTAAATTATGCTGTTGTAGCTCTGTATGCTTCCCCCTTACAGAGATTCCATAATCCAAATAGAAATGTGGGAAGCAGTTTTAACCCCCCCAAAATACTGCTGAAACTCTAATTCCTGTAGTACCTGTATGCTAGAGGATTTCCACAGGACCCTTCACGTGTTTACAAGAGATCACATTTCTGTGAAAACAAATTAATACTGTTGTGCTATCTGTGATTTTTGCCCTATATTTTACGTAATCCTTTTTGATGTTAAGATTGTTTTTACTTCCTTCACTATGTCTGGTTACATCTCTTTGGTGCTCAAAGAGGCGTTAAAGCTATCGAACTGCACTTGCTATATTTATGTTTAATTCCTCTGCTATGTTTTCATTATCAAACTTCAGAATATGGAAGGGGGAAAGGGTAGACACTGTTAAAGATGATCATTCTGGCTCTTCACTATGATAGCTCTCCATAAATCAACACAGATCCATTTTACACCCATACCTAGTGCAAGTAGTACTAAATAAGTCTTGAGTAGGAATTCATAATCTCCAGGTTTTCTCTTCTAATCATTTGTTTCTGAAATGAAAAATAAAGAAGAAAAATGCTCTAGAAGCATGACACTAGATTCTCAGTTTGGTTTAGTGCAGTGAGTCAAAGGCTGTTGTTTTCTGTGAGGTGGACCATAGCTTCTCAACACTTCTTTCAAGAAGTTCCTCGCTGTAGCATTAACATTTCCCCTTCATCAGGATATTTGTCAGTTCTTGTGGTACCAGTTGTGATATGGCCACAGAGCAACAGCAGCACTGGCTGTTCCAGGTGCAGCCCTTCCTAGAGGCTAGATGACAAGTGACAAGCAGCTACCTGGTCCTTCTGAAAACTTGCACCCTATTCAGTGACTTTCTGAACATTTCCTGCTGTATTCAACTGTAGTAATACTAGCTGAATACGTGCACATGCTGAGGCCTTCCCATGGCAGCACCTCGAGTGCAGGACTGTTTTTCTTCTAGACCTGCTTCTACTTCTGCTGTCCCCAGCTGCTTCTGGTTCAGATGCTGTAGCAGTCTGGCCTAGTGTAGCAAATCCTTAAGGTTTAATGTCACTGAGCAGCAAAATCTCTTCTCCTATTTCTTGAAAACTAAATTCAGAATACGTTAGGAAAAAGGTCCTGGGGTTATGGCGGTCTGTAGATGCTTGTGGTTTTTTTTTTTTTTTTTAGTTTTTTTTTTTTTAGTTTTCCCATAAACCTCTTTGTTTTGGATATTGACTCGTGTATTTTTTGATGAATAGAGATCAAGGTTTATGGTCAGTCAATATCTATGTTTAAGACTGTGAGGTAATTACTTACATGACTACAATAATTCAACTTCTTAGTTGAGTTCTGTGCTACTCAGTGCAGAAGCAAAACTTCTGCCCATTGAATGTGTGGAGGAGAACTCTATAAGCAAAGAAAACTTGCAGCATGGGTGTTAGATACAGCTCTTGTTTTCCAGCCTGCTTAGGAGTCTTACATTTACTCAAGTAGCAAATGTAAGGTTTAAAAGACTTAAAAGAAGGGATACCACTGAACTTATTTTTTTTCTTGATGCCCAATGTTATTATTTGCCTTCCTAGTGTTCAGTTTTACAGAATTTATTTGAAAAGCTGAAATATTACTTTGCCCTCTTAAAAAAAAAAAAAAGTTTTTGAAAAATCTGTTTTGATTTTCAGAAAAATAGTTGATCATGTAGACTGGATGACATCTCCTGAGCAAGTAGCAGATGCAGTGAAACGTTTCAGGTATGTGTTTTCTGATAGATCATAAATGTGGTGTGCTTGTCAGCTGATGTCTAACAGCTCTTTTTATGCAAGGACATTATTGTTACTGAACAGAATTCCAGGGAGGACCAGACGATGTTTTTTAAGTGTCTTTAGTGAAGAAAAATAAGCGCTTCTAGTTTGCTCATCTTGTTAAAATTTTGTTGTTGTGGTGGTTTTTTTTAGCCAGTCCTGAAGTGTTGCAATACTGTTATACTGAGTTTCATCATATTCATGGATGATGTGTCTTGTTTGCAAAAAGCCACGTGCATTCCTTGTGCTAGAAGGCAAACCACCATTACTGCTATAAAACCTAGCTCTAAGTTAAAATATATTGCCTGCATGGGCAAATGATGTATCGACTGAACTCTGCGTTTGAAAGTGGCAAAGATGCTGTGATTAGGGGAATCCCCTGGTTATGTCATTCTCTTTCCTAAAAGCCTTAACAGCTTCTATAGTATTTGTAGAGAAAGAACATTTAATTGTTTATTTTAAGGGAGTGGGATGTAAGGGTCATACTTCAGTGGACATTCAGTCATCCTTTAATAAAAAATTGAACAAAAATGTGTTCATCTCAGAAAAAGAATGTCGCTTGCTAAAGTGAAATAGCTTTTCATCTCTTTCAGACCAAGATATGCGTTTTAACGAGGCTGTGTGCTCCACTGAAGCTACTTAGTTCAGTTTAGATTGATGAAAGTTGTTATTTGTAAACCATATGGCTTGCTAATGGAGTAATTAGTATACCTAAGTCAGCACTCTCTCAGTGGCAACAGAGACAGTTTAAAAAATGCATATTTTTTGTAACGAATATGTAGTGTTTAGATGTTTTTGGAAGCAGATTGGTTTGTAACTAACTTCCTTAAGATTTTATTTCATTTGATTCTTGCACTTAAAATGCGAAGAAAAGTAGCGTACAGTAACCACTAATAGACTGAATATTTTATTATTTGCTTGTGATTTTTTTTTCCCTTTCTTTTTTTCTGTAATATTTGAAATGTGTGTTAGGTTGTGTGCAGGTTAGTTTCTAATACTATTCTTTGAAATAGCTTTGAGGGATTAAAGAGAGCCTTTCAAGAATTCTTCATAAAATTTTAATGTATTTTGACAGATTTGCTTTTATTGCAGAGATGCTTTTTGGCCCAATGGCATTTTAGCAGAGGCTGTTCCACGGAGAGACAAAGCTGTCAGAATGCGAACAAGAGTAGCAGGGAAAACCAAGTTACTGGAGGTAATGCCAGGTAAGCGGGTTTGGAATTGAAGCCAAATAACCCTTGCCATCTGTTGTGGCTGGAACATCAATATTCTTGCTGAATGTTGAAATACTGGTAGGAAATGTTGACTTACGAACTACACTTAAATTAGAAAGTTTTTGATTGTTAAAGCACTGAAGATTTTCATGTATGCTCTGATATTGCAATCCAATATTCTTAGAACCAGCTCTGAATTTAGTTTCACTCGAGGGTGTAAGTTTTATATATGAAACACATGTATTCCAACATGGGATGATTTCACTATAAAATTTCACATACACAGCACAAAAGTGAAGAAAGTTTTAGAGATTCTTCCCACTGTAAGAGAATTTTTGCTTTAATTGTGCTATGTACTATAGAGGCAGTACCACTTTGAATTCTAAATTGCATAATTAAAAAGAAAAAAACGAGCAAATTACTCGAAAGATTTAAAATTCAATTTAAGTTTATTGTCCACCCAGAGGTAGAAATTTGATTTAACTTCTGTGCAATTATCGTTTTTGTAGATGAACTGAAACACATCATAGGTGCCGAGACAACGCGGAAAGGCATTCTTCGTGTCTTTGAAATGTTCCAGCACAGTCAGCTCAATAAGAGAATGGTGTATGTGTTTCTGGAGAGATTCTTAGAAACCTTATTTCCACAAAACAAGTTTCATGAGCTCTTCAACAAACTGCATTCACGGTCAAAGCAGATGCAGAGGTATAAGCAGAGACTATATTCTACTCAAGCGCCTTCCTTGCAGAAAAGGTGACACTCCAAACCTATTAAGCTGGTGTATATTTGTCCAGGATGATTACTTGGGCAGATGCTCTGGGGCTTCAAACTCACATGCTGTTATTTCTGCACCAGTCTCTTAGTGTCACATATTAGATTATTAATGCATCTGTAAGACCTGTGGATCTTCTCATCTTCAACTGTAATTCAACCACTACCACAAGGATTTGTATGTCTTAAATGATTTGGTGCATCTACATGCAAGATTGAGAAGAATACTGGTCCATTACCTAAGAATGTTAGTTCCTTCTGCTCCTGAGTCGATGTTTTGCCAGCTATGAAAAGTGCCAGGCTGTTTGAGAAAAGCACAACTGCAGTGACATAACGGAGGCAAAGGATGTTTTGGCACTGGGAGATGTGTGCAATGTGTGAGGATCAGGTGGGATTGTTCTGCATTATGCCTGTTGAGGCTCTGTGTTAACATTCCTGTAAAGGCTGAGCTAACAGGAAAAACAGTCTCTGGAACAGCTGATTCAGGGGGAAGGGAGGGATAGGATACCCCCACGACAAAAGTACATTACTAAAGAAAGGTTGAGATAATGTGGCTTTTCTATCACATTGACTTCACCTTCTGTGTTTTGAAAAATAGCATTAGGTCTTTGGGAGATTATAGTAATGAAAAGCAGAGATGCAGTAAAAAGGAAACCTTTATTTTGATTATTTTGTAGCTTTAAGGGCCATATTCTGCTCTTATAGCACCTGATAATACATTTTGCATGTAACTTCAATGGAGAAGGGGCATCACAGTCACGTTCAGTTTGATTATTGCAGAAGGAAGGGGGAACCTGTTTCAAAAGATAGGCATCATGCTAGGAGATGAGGAAATTGCACTAAGAAACAGTCTATACACAACTCCCCCCTAAAATCTGAAAATCTTTTGGGTGTAGAAGACTGCCTTGCTTAATTTGAAGATTCCTTACCTTTTAGTGTCTAAGCCTCATAGGGAAAATGTTAGAATTAGTTGGTTCCTCACAGATACAAGATTTCATTAGTCATATGCAAACATTTGGAAATTTCTGAACGTATCTCAGTGTATATATGAAAATAAAAAGAAGATAAAACTACAATATTTTTTTAAATAATCTTTTTTATTTTTTGCATAGTGTAAAATTTTAATAAAATTTTGACATCAAAGCCCCACATCCATCTGTTTAGTTTCATCATAGAATTTATGTGCAATTAAGAATAATTATGTGGAACTAAATAATCCTGTTTTGCCACAGTACATCTCCGTTTGTATTTTCTTTTCATACTCCCTTATTGTTTCCGAGCACCACTATCCAAGAGAACAGAAGGTAATCTTAGAGAGTCCTTTTTTGTTGTTGTTTTCTGAGTGCTAAACATTATGTAAAATTTAACTATTGATCAAGGATCCTGATAGTAACTTTTGTCTGAATGGGAACAAATGATCCTTCTGTGTGATGGAGAAACGTAGACCTTTCACTTTATGTAAGTGTCCAAGAGGAGAAGACAGAAGACCCTCAAATTGGGACCTGGTTCAATTGACTCAATCCTATGTATAGATCATTTTTTCTCATGGACTCTATTCATGCAATGTAGCCTCTTACCATACTACTTAATGATGATCATATTGTATTGTTAACATTCTCATACAGTATGCATGGGCTCAAGTGCACTTGTTTTTTCTTTATCACAGAACTAAAGACTGTAAATTAAATCCCTGCCTTTTATGATTTCCGGGAAGACAAGTCGGTGATGTGTAAGACTCTCACCCCCTTCCTCTCTGCAGGCTCTGTAGAAGTGTGAAGATTAAGTGCTGTTGAAATTAACACATTTCTTGAGTTCCTGTGTAAAATAATCAACATAGCCAGTTCCTGTTGTTTACATGCCTGTATCTTCCTCTAGTGCCAGGGTGCTGTAGCATACTTGACATGCGACTGATAGAAGATCATTCAGCAGCTGTCGTTGGTGATATAGTAAATATATCATTGATCCTACCAAATCTTATTTATGTCTTTTAAATCACAGAGTTTGTAATGCAGTATGAAAATGGAAACTTAAAATATCGTTTTGTCAAATCTGTGGAGACTCTTATCTATCTATAGGTACCATGATAAATTTCAAGAGAATAGTGGTCATGTGCAAATTTGGTATTTTTTTTTAGGTTACCTGGTACATTTCTGTACAAAAATAAAATAATATCTCTAGGAATGTGAACTGAACATAATTGACCGTGTTTATCAAAGTAATTGTACTTCATGAATTTATTGCATATGTATACTTACACACACATGTATGTAAATGTGTGTATGTGTATATATGTATTGAAGTTCTGTATTTCAGTACAGAATGTGGCTTCCTAATTCATTGGTGCCTGCTGGCAAGAATCATCAGAAATTAATACTTTTTTTGGTTAGAAGTTTGTATGCATCTTTATTTAAATGGTTGACATGTTGCCCATTCAAAATATCCGCCCTGTCAATCCATGCAGTCCATTATCCTGTAAAGTCTACAAAACTGAATGTTAATATACAGCACTTAAACTGTCTGGGTGTATCTTCTGGCCTTTGGGTGCTGTGACTGGCCACTGAAAACTGCGCCATTGTCAACAAATGCACTTGTTTTAGCCTTAATTATTTTTAAGAGAAAATGAGCAATTAAATATTTCATTTGGTTCATCCTCAAGCTTGTGCTGCTGGTGTTTGCTAGAACTAAACAATAAATTTTAAGTGCTACCAGAATGTGTACCAAAATAAAAATATATGAATTCCACAATCTAAATTTTAATTTTGTGCAATATTTTCATTTAATGCATGTGTATTTGAATAACTGTAAAATAAATGAATTTTTAATGTTTTGAGGTTTAGGTTAAAATGTCTTCTCAGCTGAACAGTTTTGCATTCTGTTGTTGCGTTTAGTTTATTTAAGGACTTGTTTTAAAAGTCTTATTTGTTACTCCTTGTTAATTCCCTTGTTCTGAACGGTCTTTGCTCATCTGAGCATAGCCCTTTTTACAAGGGAAAAACTAAAGAGCACATCTCATGACTATAGCTGTTATAAGTTACTTGTGCATATCATTGTACAGTAAGTGTCAGCTCTGTGCCTAATTGTTCTATCAATGCTTTTCCTCTCCCTTCCCCTCCTTTTTTCCTTAACGAAGAATGAACATGAAACAGACTGCCATGCTCTCTCCTACTGAATGGCAGACACTCTGAATTTTCATTTGGAGTTTGCATTTATGTTTTGTCCGATAGAAAGCTAAAATTACACTAATAAAGTATTAACAGGATTATTACGAGTCTCTAGCTGTTGTTTGTTTCTTGAAGTAACTTTAATGAGTCAATGCTCTTTAAGACTGGAAAAAAAAATAATGCAGACAAGTATTGCTATAAAGTGCCATCAAAAAAAGAAAAATAATCGTTCTTTGGTTTTAAACACTTTACAGATGAGTTTGCTTTTAACAAATGAACGTCCCATTTTCTTCTGAGGCCAGTGTGTTCCGCTGTGACATCTGGAGAAGTAGAACATGTTGCTTTAAAGAGCTTTCTGTATTTTTTTCCTAGAGTAAGGAAAACTTTTTCCTGTAAGAAAAAATTAGACTTAAAAGTTTAACTTTGACTAAACAAGCCTTTGCACGAATGAGTTTTTTCCGTTCTCTTCCACAAATGCAGAAAACTGCTTATTTGTATAATATTAACTAGTGCTTAATTTAGTCATATTATGATAACCAGTGCTTAGTAATGAGGAATATTTTATTGCAGTTGCAACAATGGTATTGAGGAAGCAATTCTGAGGGTGGAGGATGCAAAAAAAAAAAAAAAAAAAAAAAAAAAAATCCTGAGCCTTAAAAGGCTGTGTGCAGAAACAGGACTTCTGTGATATCGTGATATGTGGGTTTTGTTGATATGTGTTTTATGTGCTTTTATTTTTCTTAATTCCTTTGTGTCCTCCCCCTTCCTCCCCCCTTTTTTTTTCTCTTTTCTTTTCCCCAGCAGCAGCTGGGGATATCATGGGAGCACAATTGTTCCCCTTGGTACATTGATTCCAGCTGTTTCACATTCATCAAAAAGATGTCTTAAGCTGCGGACGTGTTAGTTCTCTTTTTCTAGGTTAAAATGTTTACTATTTTCAGTAGCCTAAATGCTTTTGTTGCAACATACAGATACATTTCAGGGATTTGATTAGTTAATTGCAAGTTCTTATTTGTTGGGGCTTTTATGCTCCTCCTGTGCAAATATCATGGCAAGAAATTTACTCCAATAAATTTGTCTAGAAGTTCTTAGTAGTCTCTGCATTTACTAAATGAGAATAATAAATGCCTGTGGCTGATTTAACTGTTCAGTCTAGCACTTTGATTTATATTGCATTTGATGCCTAATAAAAGGGTGAGGGTTTCTTAAGATTTTTGTACTGATAAACTGTCACCATCCTTCTACGCTGACATACAGCTCAACTAAAAACTTCATGTTTAGCCTTTGAAGGATTTTTGTAAGTCTGTAGTGCAAATTACGTAATGCAAACGGCAAGTCCACTTTTGCTAAATATTTCAAAGCAAGTTATGCTTTATTTTCATGAAACACTTTAATGAAACCTCTGTGCCACTGCAGCTTCCCTCTTGTGCTGCAATATGTTTGAACCCTTCTGCACCGAAGTGCCTCGGATCCCTGCTGCCCTGGCGTGCTGAGGGTGAAGTAAGTGGCTAAAGGCACTTCAGGTGACACCCAGTTCAGAAAGGGCTACCTGGAATTCTTACTTGGCCTTCTGGAATTGGAATAGCAGATAAGTTAACTCTGATCTTAGCTTTAAGTATTGACCTAGATTATACTTAAATTATTGACAGGCAACAGCCACTGCAGGAAAATAACCTAACTTTCAAAACCTGACTTGTTCTTATCCTAACAGTTTTAGAAATGAGTTGCTAGCAGTCATTTAAATCTTTGTTTGGATCACTTCCTAGCTTTTCTCATAGAAATATCCTCATTCTAAACTAAAACAAGAGATGCTTATGGAGTTCTCATTTACAAAAATCCTGGAATTTGAAATGATACAAAGCAACGAAGTTGTGTCTGTTAGGAGCACACTTTTTTCATTAGAAACATATAAAAGATGTTTGTGCAATGCTCCAGTTACCTCGTTTATGAAATGGACAGAAATTGAAATAAAACTTTCTTGTATTTTTTTCATGTTAAAATAGAGAATCACTACTGAGAATAAGTATAAAGCTTCCTGAGACATCTTTTTGCAGAATCCATCTTGCAAACTAGCAAGCTCCTGTTTTCTCTTTCAGCTGAAAGTCAAGTTAGACTTTATGAAAGAAAACGTTTCCCTTTATAGTCTGCTTTAAATTCTGTTTCACGTGAATTTGTTGAAACTAAAAAGCAATGTTTCGTATCTTTTCCTGTGACAGAAAATTTCACATGCCGATTTCGTATCAACTGTGCTGATTGAAATCATTACCTTCCCAGTATTCCCAAAGTCATTTTACAAAGTAAACCAGGCCTCCTTATGCCCAATGCAAAAGCAGAAGATCCATTTGGGGAAGAAGTGAGGAGTTGCCCTCTGACTTTTCATGTTGGCAGATAAAAGGAAACAGGCCAAATTCTCTTATATGTTGCATGGGTAAATAGGAACCTAGAGATGCCTTTCTTAGGTGCAGGTTTTAAGTGATGTCGAGCCTTCCAGTTTAGTGTTAAATACCTTTTCAATGTTATATGTATTCTGAAAATGCTGCTAAATAAATGCAATAAATACAGCCTGGAACACTGCGGGGCTTGCTGACTGTAGAAAGCGCTCAACTCTG